ACAACACCGAATTCTTCAATCCATTCACAGATGCCACGAAAGTCCAACAACCACCTCTTTGTGCTCCCAATGAACACACTACTCACAAATGTATGTAGAAAATCACACTACTACTACTACTACTACTACTACCGAAATGAAGATATTAAGGAAGAACGTGAAATTAAGATGTCATTAACTTGGATGACATCACTCACCTCAATCCACGGTTCCATCTGTACGGCAACTGCGTCGAATCGGTTTTCGAGGAGAGATAATTTAACTGAAACAGGCGGACGGGTCGAGGATTAATAGGTTACACTTGCTAGCGCTTTGCTTATAGTTGCATGTGAGATCAGCCTTTCATTGCATATATATATATATATCATGATAAGTAGTATGCGAATGACTGCACAAAATTTCCCTGGAAGCACACGACCGGTTTCACGATTCTTGCCGCTCGTCAGGCATGCGTATCCGGTAATCTTTTGTCAGTTCATTCATATACTTGTATTATCGTGTATTGTTGTCACAACAACCTTGTTTGTAACACCCGGTGACCATTGGATAGATAACTCTTTCAGAGCCAGTCCAATGCGGTTGGTAGCATCTAACCCATTTAAGAAACATCGAATCATAGCATTGATTCTTCATTGGATTGAGTCTGAAAGAGCTGTCTATCCAATGGTCACCTGGTGTTGCAAACAAGGTTGTTGTGACGAAAATACACTTCTTGGGTACAAGTATATGAATGAACTGACAAAAGATTACCGGATAGGTATGCCTGACGAGCGGCAAGAACCGCGAAACCAGTCGTGTGCTTCCAGGGAAATTTTGTCCGGTCATTCACATACTACTTATTATGAAATATTCTACCAAGACCATCAGGTCACGAAAAAGTATTGCAGCCCCTCCCACTCCCCCACCAACTTTACCCATCAAAGCCACTTTAATATTTTGTACAAGAGTTCGAATCATGTCCATGTCAACATTATTCCACTTAATAATCAGTAGTGCTTCCAACTAATGTTTTGTGGTGTAAACTCTGGAATGCTGGTGCACCTTCCAGTTAAGAATAGCTCAAATGTGTTTTAATAGGCTGCTACGAAATAATAATCAGCATTTTCAAAGGGGGAGTTCATCGTCGTGTATATAGAACAAATGAAGCGTGAACTGAGAACCTGGGTAGCATCGGACAGCTGTGTCGATCTGGTTAGGTCTTATCCCTGCAGTGCGCGAATTCATCGACTCAATTGGGGATCGAACCAGGGACATCACAGGCGGAACGCAAGCATGTTATCTCCACTCGACTATCCCGGGGCAGCTGATCAGACCGGTTTTCGTTTTCCAATTTCACACGTTATAGCACAACCTATCTTTGCGAGCTTAGTGCAGGCCACGAACTTGGCCAATCTCAGAACTAGCCTCTGGGGTTATGACTCGGTTGGAAACAATCACAATCTGAATACTTGTTACATGAAATAAATCCTCCATTATTCCTTTTAGATACTAGTAACGAAGGACGGCGGTATCATGCGAAAAACGACATCAGGGTACCATTAATAGCACGAGGTGCTACTTCAGTGTCCCAATATATGCATCGGAATCTTGCACCCCACAAGGTAAAGCGAATTCGGTTGGGTCGTTCCTTTTACAAGGCGCCCCGAATTATCACGGAGTTTTGAACGCTAGTCCGCTTATTCACCTTTACGCAGATCTAACTGCAGTACTTCCAAGTGTAGAGTCCATCATTTTTAGCTAAAGTACTCGGAATTTCCTTCTCTCCAAGTTACGCAAGTCTAGGGTCACAATATAGGTCTTTTTAGTTTGTAAACTTGTTGTCACAGTTATGCACCTTCTCGTTTTCTTCTAGGAACTGTCTCAAGTATTCGCCGTACCGGAATGCTTAAACTAAGTACAGTTTTCATCTCCGATGCTCGATTCGCGGATTTTTTTTATTACACACCTAGGTGTGATGAACAGCAACTGGGGCGGACCCCATAGTCACGAGGACCTGCTGTTCAGTGGTTGAAAACAGCAACCTAAGCCCCGGAACTTGGAGTGGCGAACCACATAAGGCCCCGATAGGTTAGGCGTGGTATTGAACTGGACGACCGAATAGCTGCCTACCACCAAAGTCGAGTGGCGGTGGCGGGGCTCGAACCTCGTACCATAGGGTCCAAATCACGCCGATGACAGCGATTAAACCACTGCGCCACCTCCACCCTTGCATTTTCCGGTTTACGACTGCTTGGTAATTGTTTTCAGCTGCAAATATCGTACCACAGTGTGATCGAGATCCACCACACGGTCTGGCTATCTTCTGTGGGATGACACTGATCTCACGAAAGGTATCATCTATGGATTTCTCGTGATCAGTAAACCTCTCCCATCGCGTCATGGTGGGCATTGGGTCGTAGTAACCTACTCGAATGTCTCGGTTCTTTCGCGGCCAATAGCGATAATCTGGGCACGAGCGTGCACTACACCATTCTGTCAAATTTTGATTCACCACGGACGCCATACCGAATTACAAAGTCAGAATGCCTATCCGAATGCGTTTTAAAACAGAGTTTGTGAGATACTTCTTTGTTAGATTGAAATTACGTACACCGCAACTACCTGTACTCTGTTGAAAACTCAACAATTCATGCGCGGTCCTAATCAACTCCCAGTGTGATGACTTTTGCCCATCGGATCGGAACTTGCTACATTCCTCCTGCATGGTCATTCAGTTTGTACTTTTCCGTATTTCCGCTCTGATTACCGAACCGCTCAGCATAGCAACTTTCGTGTTCGTTGTCGTGACCCGTTCTTCGTTCAACCTGTTCCCGTAATCTATCATCTCCACCACCGCATGGAAACTGTTTAGTGATAATTGTTGTCCTATTATCGTAATCTATTATCGCCACCCCATATGTCGTAGTAACTGTCGTTACTCGTTTTGTGCTCTATCCATTATCGTTATCAATTATCTCGACCCGACATAGAAACTACCTCGTGTTATTGTGGTCACCTGTTCACCACTCACTCACTATGATTATCCTATCATGTTCACTGTTGTTACTGTTCATTCTTTTTCGCAATCAGTTATTTCATGACCCACGTGCTACCGCCCGCCCTTGTGTGTTTAACCACCCCAGATACTCTCCTTGTGTTTGTTATCTATTCTCTTAATTACATCGTGATTACTGTTGTCGTTTGTCGCTCCCTCACCCCGCACGCACCTTTGGTGTCACTTCGCTATCCCATGCCCCTGTGATTGATCCTCTCCGATCTTTAAATAGCACTGTCTCTATATCCACATTTGCATTCCTTCTCCGATTTCCAAGAGAGTGTTTTCCTGGCACGTTTGCTCTTGTCGTGTTGAACCGATTGTTTTGGTCCAGACCGAGTTGTCCCTAATTTGAGGTGTGCGATTGTATTTCCATTAATTCATGATTGATTATGCAACAGTCCACGTAAATTTCCCAGCTTTTCGGTATCTGCGAGTCACTTTATCATCGGACGTCAATCCGACACAGAGTTGGATGTGTGAACCATGCGGGGATGCAATCAATTTGTCACGGTGAAAATTCAGTATTTTGTCGAACTAGTAATTTCATTAAAATTAAGGATAATTTGACACAATTTCGGATTTTCCTTTGATTGCCGTCTACGTTTTCAAAAATGATGACGACCGTGCATGCGGGGAGCGGAGAGGATCTAAAAAACTTCGGGGGTGGACGAGGTGGGAGATTTGACGCGGGACTAAAATGCATAATCACTGAGTAAATGAAAATAAACACTTGACATTTCCAACTGGTTTTGCTTCTTTGCACAATGAGACAGCGGAAAAAAGAGAGTAACCCCTTTTCTCATCACGAGGTGAGTGAACGACCCGCCACATGACCTTGGGCTAAAATCTGGAGAACTGTAACACATCCAGAGGATTACATAGCACTCCAACAAACGATCGATGCAGCCCAGCAATGGTCCATCGCCAATGACATCGAGTTCAACGTTTCAAAATGCGGAGTTATTTCCATGAGGCACAAAACTCGTTTCTCCTATGTTCTGGGGAACCAAATACTACCGCATGCCATCGATTGAACGGATTTGGGATTTATGGCACAGGAGGGCGTAGGATGTTCCACACACTGTGCCAGAGCATCAACCATGGTTCTAAAGCAAGTTGGACTACTCAGAAGTGCTTCCGGGCATTTCGAAAAAGCACGGTTCCCACGCTTGCTATCAGCGTTCGTTCGGTCACACACCGAGTACGCCGTTCAAGTATGTAATCCATGATTAAACTGTGACAAGAAAGCTCTAGAACGTCCGCAAAGGTCGGAAACAAAATTGGCCAAAGGTCTGTATAACAAGACATACTCTGAAAGATTGCAAATATTGGGACTTTACTCGTCTCAATCCCGCCGACTTGGGGAGGACCCAATCTTGACATATCACATACTGCATTAACCCAATAACCCTTACCGTTCTGTGTTGACATTATCTCAAAATGATCACCTCAGGAGGACATCCACTAACGTTGAGGACTCAAAACAGCCGTCTTGATTGCCGGCATCACTTGTTTGCAATCAGACTGTGCAGTGCAAATGGAATTCTCTTCCATTCTTCATAGACGATGGGGACCAAGTGGTTCGGTCACCTGGATGTCTCGGGCTCGAACCGCTCCACTGTCGTTCATCTTCCCTATTGCTGTATTTTCCCAGATAGCAGCCTTTGTATGGCCGCGATCCCTTTCCTGAAAGTTGGCCGTACATTTGTATGTTCAATAAATAGAAAAAGGAAGTGAAAAGACTACTGGATCATTATAGTGTGTGCACCTACAGTTGAACTATGTAAATTGCAACTTGATAAAGCATTCGAACACTCAACATTTCAACATCGGTGAAGGAGATCATGCATATTATCATTATTAGTTTCTCTTCGTAGACTTATCCAAAAGATTCTGTAAAAATCCTATGGAGCATGATAAGCTTTAGTCTTGTTAGATTACCCATAATAAAACTTTGAAAACTTTAAAAGGACACCTCAAATTTACCGGACAAAGCGAGCGCATCGGACAGGGCAAACTGTTCCAACCGAACAGGATCCTCCACAGGAACCAGGCGAGGCCATTCCCGATCGATACCGGAAATAGGTGAAGAATCCAGGTTACTGGTATCAGACAAATCCAGTCCGCGAGCAGTTGCGGTATCCGACGGGGAATGAACGGCTGACGTGTGTTCTCTGTCCACAGTCAATGGTCGACCTGAGATACGACTTTCTGGTGTTTGAAGATAAATATCTTCATCCACCAGACGCGTCCGACCTCTGGGTTGTGAGGAATACAAAAAGCAGTAGTGAAGATGAGACAACCCCAACGTGGAACAATTTTTTGTAACAATTGTGCGCGTCCCATTGGTTGTTGTGAAACACCACAAACTCAACCAAAGTTGCAAATAGTGGCAAGATTGAACAAACAAGAATGAAAGACAACATCACGCTTACCCCAAATAGGATTGGTTGGGCGAGCGAATAAACTAAAACAAGAATTCAAATATTCACAGGGATGGTCACTTTTCCGACATCATTCAGGGCTTACAATAAGGTGATGCTCGTGCATGACGAGAGAGACAGCTGAGTCGAACGACCATTCTACCACAGCTTTGAACCATACAAAACCAAATGTGTTCTCGTACCATCCATCAGGCCAGAATCACAGGAAATGCTTCGCATGTTCGAGTTTCTTGCACACACCCCTAGGCAAGCCCGTGGGGCTTAGGTTGCCGGTTTCCACCACTGAGCAGTAAATCCTCATGACTATGCAGTTCGCCCCACCCTCTGCTGTTAAACACACTTGGATGTGTTATAAAAAAGCAGTGTCAAAAACTGGTAAGTGTTCTACCATCCACCTCAATGAGGTCATCCATGAGCAAACGCATTCGATCATTCTAGACAAGGGCTAATTTGCAAACATGTCAGCTGACAAGAGGTAAACAGGATTCCGTTCAGTAAGCTTGAATTATCGATCGAAATGACAAAACCGAATCAGTCGGTTAGGCTTATGTGCTACGAATGGTAAAGAAGTTTGGCAACGGTTCTGGGATCGCACATGTTTTAGCGCTCAAGTCAATCACTAATCTGCATGGAGTCTTAAACATAATGGAATGTTGGTGATTGAGTGTTGCTTGTGTGTGTGTGCGTGATGGACACACGGATAACCTGTCAAGGGTGGTAGCGGCGCCGTTACCGGTGTGCGTGGTCCGCGGTTCGAGCCCCACCACCGCCACCCGATTTAGGTGGTAGGCAGCTTTGCTGTCGTCCGGTTGAATACCGCGACTGATGTGGTTCTCCACTCCAGGTCCCACAGTGCTTAGATTACCGATTTCCGTGATGAACACATGGATGACCTGTTTAACATGCACCATTTGATGTCCAATATGAGACAATTATCAACAGAAAACCAACACTTCATAAGTAAGTATAAACATTTCGATCAGACACTGGTTCGAGCCAGTTTACTGCTTTCCTGGACGTACGCATTCACCAATTTGAACCCATGTCGCACGGTGTGCACGGATAGGGAACCATAGTCACCAGCATTCATCATCACTATCATCGTAGCGCGAGATATCGTAAAAAGGAACTTGGCTGATCGCTGTCAAACTCGAAATGCATACAAGGTTAGTGGTAATGTTTAGAGTGGATCTATTTTGAGGGAGGGAGAAGAAGGTAAACTACTGTGGTCAACACACAGAGAATGCACAATCGAACTCTGCATACATACCGTTTCGAAATGATAACATGCCACTGCTGTCGGTTCGCTACCATATCCTTCGACGTCTCCAACCAACCAGTCGCGGAGTCTTTCGGACTCCAACCAGTAAGGGTCGAGACATCTACTCTACCTAATGGCTCCCTGTATTTCTTCCGGACTCGTCTCCACGTCATCTGTTGACCTCCACATGGTTTCCTCCAGCCCAGATCGGCTACAGTGAATAAAACGTGATGCGGCAAACGACGGCTGTGCACAAGCAATGCGTGCCTTAGCCAGGCAAGTCTACTAATCTGAATTCGATGAGCAAGCAAATTTATCCCCGATAGACTCCCAAACACACAACGGCTTACCTCCAGATTACCAAACCGCTCGCTCCATCCCACGTGGGCTAACGTACGTAAACACCGATAATTGAAAACTTCTAGTCGACGGATATCTTCTTCTCGTAAATTCAAGGTCTCATAACCATAAAGCAGAACTGAAAAAAACGCTAGGCTCAATATACACGACTTTTCAACTTCAGTGAAAGGTCACCTTGAACCCTAAGTCATAAACTCTTGTGCATAAACAAAGTAGCAAGCAGGACGGCAGAAGCGATAAGCGTGGTTGCAAAATCTATCGAGAAAAAAGAAACCGGAAAGAAC